CTACCTTCAACATGGCTGAGATGGGCAAACTTCGGTACACTTCCGAAGTCCACTACCAGTCGTTATCGGCAAGCGGGGACGACTACGACCATCTTGACATCACGCTGCTGGAACGCTTGCGCGACGTAACACACAAGGAGTTAGACTGCCTTGTCTGTTACAACTTGATGCTCGACCCGACCACGACTTCGTGCGGTCATACATTCTGCCGCCGCTGCCTCGCTCGTGTCATGGATCACAGTAGCATTTGCCCCTTCTGTCGTAGAGGACTGCATGTGCCTGCGTCCTTGCAGAATCAATCTAGCAACGTCATACTCAACTCCTTGTTGAATGGGCTTTGTCCAGATTTGGTCAGTGCTCGTGCCGATGCCCTCAAGGCGGAAGAACAGGCCGGGGACAACGTCTTGAACGTTCCGCTCTTCATTTGCACACTGTCATTACCTGCAATGCCGACTTTCCTTCATGTCTTTGAGCCCCGCTATCGGCTCATGATGCGACGTGTCATTGAAGGCAGCAGACAATTCGGCATGGTCATGTATAATCGCACTCATGCCCCACAAGGCGATCTTGGTCCGACCCCATTTTTGGAATACGGAACGCTACTCGAGATCGTCAACTACGAACTACTCCGTGATGGGCGTAGCTTTATCGAGACACGAGGTATCGGTCGTTTCAAAGTGAGGGCTCATGGCTTGCTTGATGGGTACAACGTCAGCCGCATCGAGCGCGTTGAAGATGTCTCTCTTGCCGAAGAAGCCATTTTAGAGCAGCGCGAAACCACAATGGCACGGGACTATGCGGAAGCATTTTTCCGCGACCACCCTCAGAACCAGCTCCCTGCGGAAGTCGCGATTGAGACCCTTTCTACGCAACAACTACTCGACAGTTGCACAGCGTTTGTGCGGGAAATGAGAGAGGCTAGCGCGCCTTGGCTTCGTGAGCGCATCATCCAAGTCTACGGTGAACCACCTGAGGACCCCGCGATATTTCCATACTGGTTTGCCTCTGTCGTCCCAATCGTGGAAGAAGAGAAATATGTTTTATTACAAACAGAAAGGGTTCGCGAGCGTCTGAAGATTGTTTACTCGTGGATTGGCAGGATCCGCGGGCAAAGATGGTAAGCATCTACCTTTTCCTATCTATTCATCTCCACAATCCCTCGGCTCTCGGCACCAGGAACCCGGCACATGCATTAAGTCTTGGGTGACACAAGCACAAACGGTGATCGTCCCGCCGTCATGCAGCATGGCTTCCGCGGAGAGACGTGGATCATTGCTTGTGCGCTGATCACTATGACGATAGAGATATCCCATGAGTGTCAGTGACACATTTCCGTCCATGCCATTGGTTTTGGATACTTTCGACGCAAAGATATATCCGGCGCAGTAGCTGACAACGTATCGATAGGTCTTCGGGCAGCGCATGCAGTATCCTATGACTCTTGATTGCTATAATTACCATGGGCATCTCGATCCTGTCTACGCCTCCACCTCAGCCTACCACCAACTCCCACTAGGAGGACGAGACGCTTACATCACATCAAGCTCACGACTTTCCAATACCACCAGATACCCTTCGCTCATGGCCAGAATTTGATACCAGTCCTCACGTCTACATGCCTTTCGGCATCACGAGGCACTATTTCCTTTATGTGTATTGCACTATTTTACGTCACGAAGATCTCGTTTGCTATGATATGTTCTTTCGCTTCTTCAACGATTACCCCCTTTCAGGAAGGACCCGGAGCTTGCCGCGGTCCATGTTCAAATGGCTTTTTTAGACCCAGGTGCCAGCCTGGCCTTTGTGGGAAAACTTTTTTTCAGGACGGTTTTCGAAAAAAAGGCATGCTGTAACAAAGGGTGAGGAGTAAACTTTGCATTTGGCAGGCGTTGTTTCTATCGTGTCGATTTTAGCGGGGCTGCTTTTGCTAGAGATGAGGGGAAGATTGCTTTGTAGATACTAGAGTATTTGCGAATGAGATATGTGCATCTCCGGTCTTTGTACTGTGCATTGCCGTATCCTACAATACGCCCGCTGATAATGACTTCACATTCACTCGTAGTCAAAATGTCTGATTGCAGAAGTGTAGATCCGGGGAATGATGTGTCCCATTCACATAGGCACTTACCAACCGGCATAAATAGCGTTGAGTTTCGAGAAGTTCGATGGTATGCTTCTACCAGGATGTTTCTGAACAACATTCTGCATTAATGGAATGCGATACCCTATGCTGTACAGGAAAAAACGCATGCATGCGACGCACGAATAGCAGCTACATACAGGCGATAGTTCAAGCGGTACGTAGGATATCTAGAATAGCAACGTTTGTAGTCGCCGCCGCTGGTCCCGCTCAAACATTGTCTGGTGCCGTCCAACTTGATCTCCAAATTCCTTTAGTATGGAAGCCTCAAGTTCCCTGCGCAACCTTTCCTTCTCTTGATGTACGTGATCTCTTCTCTTGTCATCTTCCCACCGAGTCTTAACTTGCTCCCTCTGGACAGCCAGGATCTTGTGCGGCTGGATGTACGGGCCATACACGGCGGCGAGCTCCGGTGGGTCAAGCCACCCGTGACATCAGGGCCTCATCCACGTCCATACTTCTTGCCACTCCTTGCGCGCTTAGCCGGTCTAGCCTGTTTGAGTAAAAGCCCTCGTTCACCCAACACCTGGGCACACACCTCGTGCTGCTTACGCCCCGCGAAGTTTTGCGTTCTGCCGTGGTTGCCTAATTCCCCTACGTTGCCCCGCTTGCGACGCGGACCCCGAGGTTGCTGACAGGCTATTCGGTCTCGTGCCATTTCTTTCGTCAAATCGTACCTACAGTCTCGGGCGCATTAACGGTGCGACGGGCACATAGAGCTAGCTTTCCACGTATGCAGGAACCAGCTGTACACTCAGAAACGTGACCAATAACGCCGTGATCATTTGCATCCTACGAGACGCCAGGCTTGACAGCAATAGGTGCTGCGTGTTGCACAGCCCTGGATTAATACGGCTGAAACGTCCCGAGGTCGGTTTATCAAGCCGGCACACCCGACATCAAAACCTTGTCGCAGTTTCTCCTTCAATACCGTACAGTCGCAACGCCGGGCCACGCATATCTAACGCTGTCGGGGCGACCATATAGGAAAGGCTCTTCAGTCGTCCGGCCATGAAAAACACAATGCACTCTTCGCATGCCGATACCTCCCAGCTAGCGAGCTGGAAAGCGGCAGCAAACACTTGTCTCATTTCTGTGACCGTTATCATCATCGTCGTCATATTTATCGATCGAGTGGCATCGAAACCGAAACCATACCAGCTGTTTCCCGTCTGGGCAACACTTGAGATTGGGTTAACTTCGCATCTTTTCTCCGAGAATGGACTGGGTCGCCGTATTCTGTGAGTATCATGTAGCATTATTCATCTAGAAATAATGCTGATGTCCGCGTTTGTAGGATGTTGCTGCGGCGAAACAGTGGATCTCTGATTGGGCTCTCTTCAAAACACCAAATACTTATCGATTCGCCGCACATCACACGGTTAATGGCAAAAACCATCTTAGATCCTTTACCGGTTCAGTACACCCTTCTCGTCCGTGTATTCGGCGGCGTAGACTCCCTGCAATTCAAAAGAAAGTTGGACGCTTCACACAGGGATCTGCGAACACCCATCGAGAAAGTCTTCATGAACGAGAACGCTGCCACTGCTGCTTTGGAGAGAGCCTGCATACCCGAAAAAGTGAAGTCCTTCGTGACCTTCCAGTCTAATCATCGCGACATGGAGTTGTGGGAGCATTCGGCACATGTTCGGGTGATCAACCCTGATTCCGGTGGTGTTGAAAAAGTGGAGGCAAATTTCCAAAGCTTGGTTCGAGACTTTGGTGCCTGTATCGCTATCCCACAGCTATACGGTCGCGATTTTCTCGATCGCTATCCACAGGCACTAGAGGATTTGTGGAAGTTCGATAACGATCTCTTCCCCCTCTTAATGATTGGGCTGCCACTGTGGGCTCCTTTGAAAGTGTTGAAAGAGGGTCTCGCTGCGCGGACTCGTCTCATCACTGAACTCGAGGCTTTGTATCGCCGAATCGACCAGTACCAGCAGGGAGATCCTGTCGATTTCGACGCTGATATGCGCGACGTCGGTGAAACAGCTTTGGGAAGGAACAACATTTACAGGAGGGAAGGTTGGTCCTTCCCTGAGCGTGGTGCTGGAGACCTTGGACTCATTTGGGGTCAGAATGCGAACACGCAACCACTCCTCTTCTGGCTGCTGACCTATTTATATTCCACGCCCGAGGTCTTGGAGCAACTCCGCGTGGAACTGGCCCCATATGTTACAATGTCTACGTCCACCCCCAGAGAGCTAACATCACTGGATATGCAAGGCTTGTCAAAGAATTGTCCGTTGCTGAAGGCGTGTATCTACGAGACTTACCGTCTTGTAAACGAACCAACGTTTGTCTCCCCATTCGAACTTCACATGAGACATTTACTGACCTCGTACACCCCCATCTTAGGTCCATTAGGTCTGTTGGTTCAAGCCCAGTTCACGTTACGGACGGGGATTTGAGACATGAACTCAAGCCAGGAACATTCGTGTCGGTGCCGTATTCTCTGGTCAACCGAGATCCTTCGATCTACAGCGATCCCGATAAGTTTGACCCTGGACGATTCCTGGAGCTGGATCAGTCATCTGGGAAGCTTACTGCTCGATATGGACGACTGAAGCCATGGGGATCTGGCCCTGCAATCTGTAAAGGAAGGATATTTGCTGAGAAGGAAATCGTGACATTAGCTGCTGCTATCATTGCAATGTGGGACGTTGGCCCAGCGGACGGGGCATGGAAGCTTCCGGGTATGGTTCCGGGAACTGGAGTCAGAAAGCCGACAAACGACATACGTGTGGTGATTACAAGAAGGGTGTAGCGTACAACATAGCCAGAGTAGTATGCATGGAGTATGAAAGATATTACCATCACAGTCGTTGCGGATATTTATATTTCGTTTCTGATTACATTACTGCCTCAGCCCCTCGTCCCAAGCAACAAACGTTTGATGTCGATAGTCCGGCATACACTTCACCTTTGCTGGAGGTGATGTCTCCCACTCGATCTTTATATCTCCTTCATTGGCAACATGCTTAGATGTATAGCCTGTAGAAATAGAGGGACCATGTTAGCATATGTCTCACATGCACTTCGTACGGTCAAACTTACCTTTTAGGTTTTTTATCTTCTGAGTTGCCTCATTGCTGCGCCACGAAGTCAGTGAATGCCTCATATACAGTTCGTACAGTCGTAACATACCTGTACTCGACATTAACGCTTGGTACCACAGCAATCTTGCCATAGCCGTTAAACCACATGTCCTTGGCGAACAGCTTCGGCTCGCCTTGGAAACACTCGCCCTCCTTATGCGATCGAAACTTGATCTTCTTCTCCATGAGCGGTTTCGCGGTGAAAGCTGTTATGCCGTTCCAGCATGCGAACACCTGGAATGGTTTCCAGCTCGACCAACGCGCGTGTGCCTTAGGGTCATTATGGAAGAGGTTCCAGGCGTTATCCCATGATCCGTCTTCCGGGATATTGAAGAATAGGTCCCCAGTCATTCCTAGAAATGGGTATACTCAGTCAGTATATGTCTCACATGCACTTCGTACAGTCAAAACTTGCCGCGAGCGATCTGCAGAGATGGAGGTACGAAGTCAGTATATATCTCACATGCACTTCGTACAGTCAGAACTTACCCAAACGTCATAGAAAGTCGGGTTGTCGCCAACGTATGTCCAGTCCATGGCACATGTCTGATCGGCTCCCTGAAACTTCCGCTGGTGTATTATTTCCAGGATGTCTTCCATACACAAACTTATGTCGTTGGAGAAAATCACCGTAGTGTCCTCGTCGTAATGCTCCGGATGTGCGATAAGGTCTCTCACGGCTAGGTTGCGGAGCTTTGCAAGGCCTTCGATACGGTCTCCTCCTTTGGCCAAAGGGTTGATGTCGCTCGATTTGAAGTGGTATTTAATTCCAAGCAATTGCATACTTGCCCTGAGCTGATCCAATACCTCAAAGGTGCCATCGTCGGATCTTCCTTCGACTATGGAAAGGACGCAGTTCTGTGGCCCGAGAAAGTACATGGTTTCTACAATGGAACCAATCAATTGCGGAAGAAGATGGACACATTGATGTAAGTCCAATGCAAAGAAATATCGTGGGAGTCGCCCGCTTTGGAGGGATCCAGAAGAGCCTCCTCCCAAGTAGGCATAACGATCTTTATTGAATGGAGGACATTCTAAGCCCGATTTCGAATCCGATGGTGTCAGGATTGAATGGACAATGGCAGTGATATTGTCGTTTGCTGATGGCTCAGGACTGCCGTCGCTGTTATCGACGCGCTCGGGAGGCTGCGGAGTTATTGGAGGATCAGCCACAGGAGTAGCTGCAGGAGACGGTTTAAGTATTCCAGTGACGATGGGTTTGATATGCGATAGGTTAAGGAACCCAAATCCAGCTATAAGTAAGAAGATGACGCTGAGCAACGCGATTGCCTGCAGGAGCGATCGCAAGCTCCGTGAAAATGCTGCCATTGTAGAAGTCGAGAGTGGCGAGGAGGAAAAGGACCGGGGCGAGATCGAGCAACAGTTGAGCCGCTGAAGTCGGTTCGAGGGGCGATTCCTGAGTGACTGGAAGTGGATTAAGTTGGCGCTGCGAGACTGCGCCGCATCCTGCAGAGTGCACGGTGCATAGTTGCGGTTTCGTACCGTCCCGCGTGGGAGAGATGAGTAGGCGCTTAGTAAAGGTCGCGGGACACGGCAACCAATGACGCACCTCGGCAGGCGGGCCCAAGCGTTTATCACAACAACGAACGCGCTGGAACGGCGTCACGCACTGGCTGCCAAGACAAACTTCCAGGTCAATTGCCGATTGCACCTCTCAGTGCGTCTAAATACCCGTCTTTCTCAGATAGCGCCACTCTCTACTCTCGGAAGCCGCCTGCACTCTAAATATATCCCGACATCTTCGCCCCATGAAACAGTGGCTGCATAGAGGTAGTACAGACAATGGCTCATTTCGCGCGACCAGCGACTGTGGATTTGCGGCACGGTTGGGGGATGCCATAAACTGCGTGTTTCTTTGAGTCGCAGGTACCCGTATCTCTTCTTTCGTCTATTGCTCTACGCGTCGTCATTCGTTTCAACATTTCACTTTGAGGAGAGATGTTCAGGTTGATCATCCTTGTCGTCTTGACCTCTATGGAGCTGGTTTCTCCAAGCCCCGCCATAATTCGCAGCCGAATCGGGCCCTTAGGACCAAACGCGACAGAGCTAGCATCTCACGCTCACGAACGGATGTTTGAACGACAAGCCTTCGCACCTATCACTACTTGTGGCTACGTTGACGGCGATGCCCAGAGCCCTCGAACTGCTGACCCCGGCTATGGATGCCGTGTAGACACCGCGAACGGCCTCTGGGGATTTTGTCCAACGAGTGTGATATCGGCCAAAGACTGCGGTTTAGCTGGCATGTGCGTAGATGAGCACTCTTGTACGGCTGGTTGTGGAAGGCTATCTGATCGATCAGATATTACCACCTTTTCTTGGTCAGTTGCTCCATGGCTTCAGAGACAATGCAAGGAGACCCTCTAACACAGTGCTCTAGCGAAGCCAAGCAGTTTTGTTCTACGGTGCTCTTGATCAATGGCCCAGATCAGTCATTCGAATACATTGCCTGCGGAAATAAAGCGAGGACAGACAGTCTTTTCGCCGTCCCGAACGCGGTGGAAGCAACGACAACATCCGCTTCCAGCACGAGCAGCAGTATCTCCTCGGTTGCTTCAATATCGCCACCAGCGAACTCCGCTATCCAGAGTACCACGCCCCTCACTTCGAGCGCCAGTATCTTATCCGACTTACCTTTACTGTCATCAACATCCAATCCGACAGCCCCGGCTTCCGAACAAAAGTCAACAAGCATTGGGCCAATAGTAGGAGGAGTGGTAGGAGGGCTCACAGTGATCTGTTTGACTATCCTTGGTGTCGTGCTCATTCGGAGGAAGCGTGGTGCTACAGAACCGACGGTACAGCCACCAGGATACATCTACGATCCTCACGATGACCTCACACACAACGCTGAATTGAGCACACACAATTCGCGATATATGCAGAAGGGGTATCAATGGGATAGCAGTCATGGTCCAGTTGAGATATCTGAAGGACATGCTGTGAATATGGTGCCTGCTGAGCTGCCGGGGAAGGTGTGATACCCACATCGTGTTAGGAACGAAATGGAGGGCCCCGAGAGATGATCAACCAAGCCGCGGTACGATAGTAACTGAAGATACTGAGAGATTCTTATAGTCAATAGACAACTAATGCTAACGATGGATGAGATCTTACGCTTGCTTAAAACTTACCTCAAACTCTTTCCAGTACACTCAAAAGTAACGTACAGAAAATTCCACGGTGAAGCTCTCGATCTGGAGTACGGAGGGCCACACATCAATTGGGCGGGTTGATGTTCAAAGCGACTGGCACCTAGCATACTGGGTTGTCACTATCATGTCGTGATATTTGAATGCTGTCATGGAATGCCAACATAGCGAGTACAAGATCGATGTGCGATTGATATGTAGACAGTATGCACTGTGGGAGTCTTAACCAAGATACTTAGGCGCAATATAAATCGGCCGTATGGACAGTCTGAGTTGAATGCGGGCCTTCTCGCGAAAGCCATCAGATTTGACCTCATTGTACTAGGATAATTCCAGACTAGCGACACCTAGAGGGGAAACGGAAAGCAATGCAACGGGCTGGTAAAGCGATCGCATGACTGTCAGTGTCGCTTTCAGAATGGCTGCTTTAAACAGTCATAATAGAGGGCAAGTTGTTACTCTGCGGGAGTCAATGCTGGTGACATTGTGGTACATGCGGGACAATGAGGCTGTGCGAGAACACAAGTGACTGTGCCGTAATTTAGAGCTCAGGATACAGGGAGAACAATGGGGTTGCGTACCGCCTCTAAATAGAGAGTATGAGGATGAAATACGAGTTACTGTGCATATATACAGCATGCTAACACAGAGTACTTGTGCGTATCCCTAGACCTGCGCCTGGGGGTGAAGGCAATGGAGATCCAGGCGGCGTTGAACCACAGTTACCTACTGCAAATCAATGACCGAAACATATCCAAAGCCATCAGAGTAGTATTTCTGAACGCAAAGAGGGAAGTGTATTAAAACCGAAGGTATGGAAGGGCTGTCGGCCATATCTGTCGGCGACCTCGGGAGTCTGCGGTTGGCGGTGGGTCCTAACGCTAGTGCACCAGAGCCAGGCCCCGGTTGGCCTGGTCATGAGCTCCTGATGTCGATCGCGTTTGTGAAGACTCTACATCCATGGAAGCGCCTACTCTTATGACTAACTCTACGGCTACAGTCAGTGATAAAAGCCTTCGCAATGCTGATAAGCTTGTTCTCTCGATCAGCTTTTCATCGACGATTTTGCTTGCCTCGTCGCTTTGCATGCAATATATCCACTGCTTTACACATTACTTCTCGAAGGAACACATCGTCGGGCGATTATACAGAACTAATGTCGGATCACGAGCCTAACCCAGAGTCTTCCTTCCCGAGGTACAAGCCGATGGAAGATATCGAACCCTTCGAGCGTTACACTGTCGGAGATTACTATCCGGTGCGAATTGGCGAGCGTTTCTGCTCAACCCGCTATCAGATCGTGCATAAACTAGGCCATGGGTCTTATTCAACTATATGGCTAGCACGTGATGAGATTCTGGCAAAGTATGTTGCTATCAAGTTCTGTGTATCAGGGCTAGACCGTCCGTCCGAGAGTACCATCTTGAAGGCTTTGTGGGACGAGGGAAGACGCGGTAGCGAAGAACACATCGGTGCTACCCTGTTTCCAGAAATTCTGGGTGAATTTGAAGTGGAAGGTCCAGAGATACGTGGTACGAAGAGAAAGCACCGCTGTCTTGTCACGATACCTGCAATGACAAGCATTGCCGAAGCGCGAGAGGCGTCCCCTTACCGTTATTTCCAGCTCCCAGTAGCTCGAGCGATAGCTGCTCAGATTATTCAGGCAGTCGCATTCATGCACTCTCGTGGAATAGTTCATGGAGGTATGTGATAGAATAGACAACATGGGTAGCTTATCAATATGCTGACGGTGGATCTAGATCTACATGAAGCAAATATCCTTCTGCGCCTTCCCAATACCATCGATGACCTTACACCAGACCAACTTCACGAAAGGTATGGACAACCCACGCTCGAAGAGGTAGAAAGGGTAGATGGACGACCTCTGGATCATTGGGTGCCTGACAATGGTGTCGTACCGTCGTACCAATCTGGCTTGGGGGCCGCGGTGATAAGCTCTCAATCGCCGACTCTAAGATCTTTCTAAGCGACTTTGGCGAATCCTTCCAGCCAGGATCTCATGTGCGGAAATCGACCCACACGCCCTTGATGCTAAGGCCTCCAGAGATACTGTTGGACACAGTGTCGCAATTTTCATTCCCTGCAGAGATATGGAGTCTCGGATGCGCAGTTTTCAGTGTCATGGGTCAACGTGCCCCGTTCTATGAATGGTTCCCGAGTAACGACCAAGTCTTAGAGTATCAAGTCGGTGCTTTGGGGCAGTTACCTCAAGACTTGTGGCTGAGATGGGCGAATCGCAGCCAGTATTTTGACGATCAACTGCGAAGCCTTAGAGGATTGAATTATCAGTCATTGGAAGACCTTCTGGAGCAGTTAATACAAGAACCAAGAAACAAAAGAAAGGTGGTCGTGATGGACGAGGAGGAGAAGCAGTCTTTTGTCAAGCTCATGAGGTCAATGTTATCATTCCGACCAGACGATCGACCTTCAGCGCAACAGGTTCTTGAGTCTCACTGGGTGCAAAATTGGGCTATACCAACAATGAGCTTGATGGATAACGGCCTCATGCACTCATAATCTTCCTGGCCCGCCCTCCCTCTTTTACCAAACGATCTTCGGCTAAGAGAACAGGAACCCCACCCTGCGCGCAACGACAACGCTAAGATACTGCGAGAGATTCAAGAGATTGAAGATGCTATGTCAACCATCGATCGCATTGACAAGCCCGTATACCAGAACCTCTTGACGACGCTGTACCAGCAGCTGTTGGATGAGAACCTAACCGACCAGCACCAAGGGCCGCCTGACTCGGATGAGGACATGTCAGACTCGGATGAGGATATGTCAGACCCGGATGAGGACCCAACCGACCAGCACCAAGGAACGTCTCACTCTGACCTAGAACCGCCTCGCATAGATCCACTACACCAAGAGCTCTCGCCAGACGAAGTAATCGCATTGATATCCGCCTCATTCCCTGATCTCTCCCCAGCATCGCCAGACATTGCAGAGCTACTGAGATCGATCAAGGAGCACATGCAAACTGCGCCACCGCTATATATTCCTGAGATCGTGGAGTCGCCGTCCACATGGCCATCTACAAATGTCGTCGTCGACGCCCTGTGGGCAGAGGTAACACGGGATGAGTGCAGAGTACCATTACCGTCGACCCCTACCACGGGGTTAGATATGCGCCCGGACTACCTTGTCAAACCCTTTGGATCACCGGAGGACCCGCTGATGGTTATAAGCTCGTACCCGACTTCTGATCCCACGAGCTCCCTCCACATGTCCTACAGTACCGTCAATGATATGTCGAACCAGTCAATCGCTGTGCTTTTGATTAAGCTCGGTTACAATGTCGCTAACGTTCGCACTACCGGTGTCTTTATGGTCGACTTCTTCCCTCGACGCCTTGACCGGAAGCGGTTAACCGGTAACTCCGAAAAACCTCTTGACAGCGTACCTAGCCAGCTTCGCCACTACTGGCAGACTCATGCGTTTATCTGTCTCGACAAGTCTACCGCTCGAGTCCTCTTGGTAGTAGGAGGGATAGCGTTCCGGGACTACTGCCAGTACTTGAAAGAGCGAGGCAGGACAGCAAAGGTTCTATATTTGTCAGGCACCGAACGCTACAAAGGAGAACTCCCGGGTGCAATGCTAGAGTACTACGACACCAGCCCAACCACAGTTCGTCGCATTGCTATCATCACGTTCCACCCCGAGGGGTTCAAACGAGAAAAGAGTCATACAAAGTCAAGCCGAGACGAAGACATAGCGATCCGCGAACAGCTGATCGACTACGCCCTCACTATTGTATACGGGCAGCCTAACGTCCAAGGCTTCCTGTCCACATCCGCATACCATTTTAACCTCCGTTCGGGAACGCTTGTTCGAAAGGACATCATCGCCCAAGGAGGGAGCGCTCTGTCATCATATCTCAAACTACCTCTAACGTTCAAGGATGCGCTGGACGCATTCCGTAACGCTATGAAGACGATCAAGATGCCATTGTCCAAAGACGCCATGGCGAGGATACGTGTGCTCCTGATGGATTGCGACGAGGCACTCACTTGGCTCAACCGCCCAGAACTCCAAGCTATCTATGGCCCATACCTCGCAACATACAAGGCGTCTGTCATCCAGACAGAGGACATGAGAGTAAGGCGGGGTCTGAACCAGGTAGAGAGAGTCGAAGGCAGGCACAAGAGTGAAGATGAGCGAGAGAGTCTAAGAAAGGCTTTAGATAACAAGTTCAGACCCCCAGCTAGGCGGCACCAAAGCGTGTTTGATTAAGACCGTTCGTGCAAGGAAAGATTGACCGCCTACCTATATGAAATTTCAAAACTTGTATACCTAGGAGCCTACATCAAGTCAATATTTTGTCAACTTTCATTTTCAAATTGATGTAGACTGCAGGGTGCTTCGTTTTCCCCTTGTTTGTTGTGAGGCTTTGATGGGCCACAAGCGCTGATTTGAACGAGAAGATGTGCTTCGTATTGGGGTATCATAGTATGGAATGTGAAATGGCAAGACTCCGGCTCACGCAGCTTCCTTGCTCTCATCTGCGACGGTCGACTTCTCCTCCACTTCAGTCTCTCCGTCCTTGAACAGCTCCTGGCCCAGCTCTTCCAAAAACTTCTCCGCCTGCCCTTTACTTCTCTTCTCCTGTATAGCCCTCTTCTTTTCTCTGACCATGGCCTTTCTCTTCTCCACGGCCTCTTTGCGCTCCTGCCTCACGCGCTCGGTATCTTCCCTGTCCTTCTCAATCCGCCTCATCTGTTCTTGTCGCTCCTCCTCGTCTTTGGAGAAGTTGAAGAAGCCCATGCCGCGCTGCCTGACCTCGGCTCTGCCGTCAAAGTGTACCTCGGGTGGTGGCGTGAGTTCTTTGTCGCGCTTGGCGGCTAGATCAGCCATCTGCTGCGCGATGGTCTCATCGGGGTTGAAAGCGTGTGTTTGTACGGTGTCGCCGAAGATTATGTTGGTGGGCATGCTGGGCCGCGCGGTGAAGCGGTCGGGTTCGTCGGCGGCGAGGGTGCGCTTTCGACGCTCTTCGCGGGCAGCTTCTGCACGTGTGCCCTTTCGTGTCCGCCCAAACTCATCCGTGTATTCTACGAGTTCCTCCTCTTCATCCTCTTCCGACTCGGATGAGCTGGCATGTTCCGCCCCGCCCTTTTCTTGTTGCTCAGCCCATTTGCGGTCAAAGTCGACACCGTATTTGTCGTCGAGATCTTCTACATCGCCGCGTTTCAGGGCGTCGTATAGGCGTGCTTTCTCTTCCATGCGCCGCTTTGTGCGCTTCCATGCGACTTCATCTTCGCCCTTCTCCTCGGTTGTGCGCCCGCGGTGCTTCTGTGTAAAGTCTGTGTCTTCCAGGTCCTTCAGTGCGCGCTTCTTGACGTTCTTGTTGTGTGTCTTGAAGATGTCTTCCTTCTGTGGTCGTGCGCGACCCGCGGTGGGCTTGTTCGGTTCCGTCGAAGAGTTCTTGATGAGGTTGGAGAGGGTCGAGGAGAAGGCGAGACTGCTCGAGCTGGAGATTTCTTTGGCCTTTGCGCGTCCCTTGGGCCGCACGCCGTAGAGATGGGCGTCTTTTGAGGACATGGTGGGGTTGGTGATGAAAGTCAATTTGGGTGGTGGCAGTCGCGTGCTGAGCGCGTAGGCGCGGCGGCGATGTTCGGAGCTCTGAGCTTGTTGCGTCACTAACCTCAGCAGCTACCCCACCTGGGTAACATTTGATTCACCAACCCCACATCGCAGTACCTTTGAGAGCCGCACCGCGCTTTCCGCGAGCCGCAGTCTTTCTCTGTTCAAGTCTGGATATCCTCCCGTTGTCTCCTGAGAGTCGACCGGATCTTCACGTTCTCAGCATCAAGATTCGCACAATCAATTGACTACAACAAACAAGCATGCCTCTACCTCGTCAAGTATTCATCGCCGTTATCGGTACGCGCAACAATCTTCTTATTCGCATACTTGATACTGACAACCACAGGTGCTGGCGGCGTAGGCAAAGCCTTCCTCTCCCAACTATCTGCCCTCTCTAAACGTCTCTCCCAATCGCCCTCGTCGCCGTACTACCTCTCCCTCATCTGGCTCAGCACCTCGAAGAAAGCTGTCTACCACGCCGACTACAAATCCCTCTCCAACTGGGAATCCGAGCTCCAAAACACTTCCAACCCCACATTGCCTCTCCCACAACTCTGCGAATACCTACAGAAAGCGCCTGGCAAGGTGGTTCTGGTCGACAACACCAGCAACCAGGACGTTGCGGATAGCTACCCTGCTTTCTTGAAGAAGGGAATCAGCATTGTAACGCCAAACAAGAAAGCCTTCTCAGGAAGCTATGGCCTATGGACACAGATCTTTGATGCTGCGAGCAACGGAAACGGTGCTGGTGGCTACGTCTTCCACGAGTCGTCCGTTGGCGCGGGACTGCCTGTTATCTCTACACTGAAGGATCTGGTAGAAACTGGAGATGAAGTCACAAAGATTGAGGGCGTTTTCAGTGGAACCATGAGTTTCCTTTTCAACTCTTTCCAGCCTCTCGGCGGTGGAGGTGGAAAATTCTCAGCTGAGGTCACATCAGCCAAAGAGAAGGGCTACACTGAGCCAGACGCTCGTGACGATCTGAATGGGCTAGACGTCGCGCGAAAGCTTACAATCCTCGCCCGTCTCGCTGGCCTAAAGGTCGAATCGCCAACATCATTCCCTGTTCAGTCTCTTATCCCCAAGGAGCTCGAGTCTTGCTCATCCGGCGACGAGTTCCTCGAGAAACTCCCACAGTACGACGACCAAATGGAGAAGCTTAAGGCAGAGGCAGAGAAGGAAGGCAAGGTCATCCGATTTGTAGGAAGCGTGGATGTACCAAACAACAAGGTCAAGGTCGGATTGGAGAAGTTCGACACAAGCCACCCCATTGCCGCCCTTAAGGGAAGCGACAACATCATCGCATTCTACACAAAGCGATATGGCGACAACCCGCTCATCATACAGGGTGCCGGTGCTGGCGGCGAGGTCACTGCGATGGGTGTAACAGCGGACCTGGTCAAGGTACTCCGGTTACTACATTGAGTAGTCTTCACGTAAACTAAAAAGCGAATACAATGACCCGTTACAACCAAAAAGCTTGTCTGTCCAGAGCGGCTAAAGTAATCTCGTACACCACACCAATGCACACTATTCATCGTCTTGCCGGTCGCACGTCAAAACCGCTGCCTTTGGTTTCCTATGCTTCTGCGTTGCACCGAGCGTCATGATCGTCGCTTCCCGTTGATGCCGAACTTTGTTTCATTGCCGATCAAAACCCAACCGACGAATTCCCTTGCTGCGAACCCCTCACTCGGCGACAGTGATGTGCAGTGATGGAACCTTCCAGCTGGCAGGTCAATCTCTGGGCTTCAATTGCTTGATCTGCCAAATTGCTTGTTTCGCGACACTGGTGCGAAGCTTATGTCGTGATACTCAAGGCTTGTCAATGTGTGACGTTGGCGTAGAGGCTGTGCACGCCGTCCCTGCGAGTCGTGCGTCCAAAACAAGTCCTGCCATCTCTTCTTGCGCGTGAGGCAAAGCTGTCGAAATTGATCAGGTGTGATGCGACATTTCTTTGACTTTGTCGTTGTGGCTCTGCTGATCCGCATGCCTGACTTTTTCCACTCACTACAGTCTTTGATCAGAATTGTAGTCATATGATCGCAAGTGTACCACAATGTCGAGATGCAACCCCTCAGAAAGAGACATATGACCTGGTCTGTGAAGTAAGGTACACATGTGAGTAGTAGCAGATCTCCACAGCGCGATGATGATATTTATCACGCAAGACCATCGATCGCCCTGCAGCACGAGAAGATCAAGCACGCTGATCTCAGGCTTGGTGTGCTTGTTCCTCTTGGGGCAGGTTTATTTCCCTTCACATCCCAGAGGGTTTATGGATTTCTCCGGCAGCTGAAGATCTGCAGACGTTACTCATGGCGCAAACCAGATTTCGAGTAAGCAACAAACTTTGTGACATTGTCTATGCACTTGTCACTAAGCTTGGACACGACATTCGGCGAGAAGGGGATCCTTCACCGACGGCAAACTGAAATTTTGGCCACGACAACGAAAAGCTCGCTTTTTCTCCATCTTGGTGGGGAGAACATGGCTAGCTTGGCGGACAGAGCGGAATATACGGTGTAATAGTATATGCCTGCATGGCTTGGCGGAGTGGAAGGGTGTCATGGTGCACTTAGTGTACATGCCTGCATGCGCTGGTGGGTATCGATATCGCGTAGCTCCAAGCAGCGGTGACGCGTCTGTACGTGCCAGAGCGCAAGGTCTAGATTGCTTTGCGAGGCACCTGCATTGGAGCGGAAGTGTGGCACGCAGGTGTGGCACAGATTCGTAACCATGCATGGGTGTGGCGGGCAATCTTGTAACATCGGTCAGTAAGGATGCTTGGAACACTTGGAAACACTCGAGAGATGGGCGAATGCGCGATGCACGTAATTGTTTGCAAACATATGTGAATTTTGTAACAAACTAGCTTCTAGAACACTCTTGAGTCATTCGTAAGTCATAGCAACAGCAAGCGAGAAAGAAAGCGACGAAGCGCTTGCCGCTTATGACGCACAAACGTTTTGCTGCCCAACGCCAAACAACCCTAGTAATTCCAAACCAAAATGGAAGCAAACGCAGGTTGCCCTTGCCCTCTTCGTGTTCGCCTGAAGTACTCCCTGTCGTTTTTTTACGTGAGAACGCCGCGGCCGAAATGAGTGCGCAAGAGTACCCGTCGCCGGGGCACGTTCGCGTGCGCAGAATGCAAGAGCAGAGTGGGTATCCGAAGTAAGAGAGAGATGAGAGAAACAGGCCAAAGCGCGCTAGGCGAGGTTGAACAAAACAGATACATGAAGTGAAGAGTGGAGTTTCGGCAGTCGTCGTGAGGAGTTGAGAGGTTCGGCTCAAGAGACCAGACAAGTGTGGCTGATGGCCTGCACGGTCCGCGGAGTGCATGATCATGGCATGTGATTGCCGTTCGGGCCGAGGAAAACGTGGCTAAGTGGATCAATGGGGAAGCGACTCCTCACTTCAGCCACAGCCTAGACTCCGACGCGATGCGACTACCAAGAGCTGAGGTGGGTTGTGTAGGTACTGACGTGGCTAAGGAAAGCGCAATATTGACGGTCCGTTCATCTGAAGATGGTGGAGATGCGCTTGGTGCGTTGCCGGACACGCGAGAGCATGTTGGCTTTGTAGGGCTCAGCCGACATGGAGATGGACGAGTGTCGCATGCTTGCGCGGTCGTTGCTTGATGTGTCGCTTGGGCTGGTCGCGCTGCTGCTCTCGGCGTCGTCTTCTCGTACAGCGGGGTAGGGCTGGTCAGCCGAAGGGAAGAAGTAGGCGTCGAGTCGGGAGTTCATTGCGCGGTTCTTCTCAGAGGCTGCTGTGACCAGACTGCTTTTGCTGCCTACGCTGGTAGCACTGTCGGTTCGGGTGATGTTGTCGAGGCGGATGTCCCGGCGGGCTGCGTTCAGAGACGTCGAGTGTGCGCGTGCGAGGCCTGAGAGAGATCCGACTGGCGGTGCTGGTCCGTCGCCGATGAGCTTGTACTCGAACTCGGAGACGTGGCCGTGGCAGTAGGGGCAGTGGTCGCACTTGACTTCCCAGCCGGAGATTCCCAACTTCTTGCCGCATGTGGAGAGGTTGCTGGAGGGGCTGCATGGGCGAACCAGGTGGTACCAGCGGTGCTGGCACGGGAGGACCGTGACGCAGAGTTCGGCGACGCACATTGTGGTGTTTCAAGTGATGTCGAGGTAGACTCGTTTTCGGGGTGTGCTTCCAGGAAACGTTGTGGGTGATGGCGCCGTCGTGGTGGGAGACGTGGTGTCGGTCTTGGAGATGACGGGCGGGATGCAGTCACGAGGTCAAAACGGGTGGCAATCTGGGGTAGACGCTAGTGGCGACTAGTAAACAGGTGGTAGTGAAGACGGTAGTGGTAGAGTGCTGGCGTAGATGGAGTCTGCGACAATGTCCAGGAAAGCGGCGGGTCCGATTATAAGGGCAGGAGGGCCGTAGAGTGGAGATTGACAGTGTAGGATGCCGTGCGCCAAGGTTTGATGGCTGATTGGGACGCGCGTGGTCGATCACCCCCTACCTACTTGTTTAGGGAATGGCGGGCGGGGAACGACAAGTGCGGCGGAGTTTAGAGCGGGCAAGCGCGATGGGGGACGACAGGTGCGGCGAAAAGCAACGGTGTTATGTAGACTCAGCCCAGGCCGGAACTTGGTGGAATGACGACGGGGTCGGTGCCGGCGGCTTGGTAAGGTTGCTTACTACAGCGAGCGGACGGACGAGCAAGGCAGCAGGGCGATGAGTCAGGACAGCTGCGGCAGGGTGAGGTGGTGATCAGGTCAGGCTGATCTAGCTGGTAGCTGGTAGCTGGCAGCTGGTGTTTCTGAGTAAACCTTGGAATGGTACGACGACGTGGACTGCTAGGGAGACGCCATAGTATTTAACACAACGGACCACTCTGCTGGGCGGCGGAGGCGGCAGGGGTCGAGGGTTCCAACTTCTAGCGCGCAGAGGATTGACCAGGTGTGCCCAAGCCTAGCAACGCCCGTGATGCCAAACAAGGCGACTCCTTCATGTCCGTCGCGGCACCGGGACACAAACGCGGGCTTTGGCACTAACGGCGGACCAAGAGAGTTTGCAAGCAGATCCGTGCCAGGCTGCTGGATCCGTGTGCTATCGACCTTCACCGCTCTCAGATAACGAGGTGCGCCGTCCGCCATGAGAGCCCTTCCAAAGCCCTTCACCACGCAGCGTGTCGGAACCCATTGGCGCTGGACCCCTGTGCCACCCTGTGCGACAATGACAATCATAGAAATCTGCCCTGACACGACTGCGCTCAGACGCTCTGCTAATCAGCGCCGCGACAAGGGGGTTGCTATTTTGCCAAAAGCCATCTCCTGCCCTCCATGCCCAAACTTTCGCTGCACTGTGCTACACTATGGAGATTTCCAAGGCTATCGGACCGGTAGCGAGCGGAACATATTGAATCCCAGGTCAGCGCCAGCGGGTGAGCATGCGCATCGCCCGTACAGGCATGGCCGGAATGCGCTTCAGATGAAGTCATGCCTCGTGGTCTCTCATGTACTCCACTTTCCGCTGTGATTTTTCACCCGTCATCACCAGATCGCAATCAAAATCGTCGCGTCGACACTGTGCTTTGCGAAGCAAAAGTCCCCCCGCTTCGCTTGAGCAGGTGCCGCTCTCTCCCGCCCTGCAGCCCGAAATCAGCTGTTTATGCGAAGAAGCAACCAAAAAGTACACGGCACTTATCTCGGACTCTTACCACGGTGTGTAACACAGACGTCAACAGTGGCCCCATGCTGGGATGCCGCTCGCGTGCATCGTGATTGACTAGAATGGCGGCTACACATGCAGCTCTCCGGTAAGACATGCTCTATCACAGGCTGCACAGCAGTACCCTGGCCGTGGGTGCATAGTAGCAAGCCTCCGATAGTGCCATCAATCAGACAAATCCCGTATGCAGCAGGATACCCGTTACGCAGCGCAGCGCGCTAGCACATCAGCCCTGTCGGTTGATCTTCATCCCTTCATCTATCCTCCCGCCCACGGGCCTGCGAAAACTTCTGCTACCCGAATCAATTCAGGCACTCATATTACACGCCGCCCAAGGGGGTGGGAATTCACAGGAACGCCAGATCAGAGCTAAATTGTCAGTGTGTCAGAACCCATGACAGGAGCGCCCTAATCGAATCGGCCCACCAGCACAGCCTCAACGCCTTTATGCATCACCTCGCCTCGCGATTCGCTCCGCTCCTCTCACGCGTCTCTCACGCCCCTTGGCACCAGCTAGTTTTCTTGGCCCCGGCTTGGCTCAGGTTCGATCTTCGTCCACACACGACCCCGCTTCATGACCAACTCCAACATCCGCCTAGTATCACGCGGTCTGGTAGTATCGCAGGCCCATACACAAGCTACCAAAATTGCGCCACACGTTCTGCTTAGCCAAATAGTGCTTCCGCAACTGCGAGGCATTTCTTGACCTATCGCAAATGCCTGACAAGCGTCTGCCCAGGCTATCGTGTAACTCTCACAGGCCCAGCAAGACAACAATGGTTCCAACCCCGTGGTTATGACACCTTTCCAAGCTTTCAGCACGACTCCATCGTGCCGGCGATCCTGTTGGCGGTTCCAGCGCATGGCACTGGTGCCAGCACAGATACACAAGCCACGCGACACAGATAGTATGGCTTGAGTCTGATCGTGATGCAGTCCGATGCACCTCTGCTCGGCGCTGTCGCAGTATCAATTTGACTTTGAATGACGATTTCTAGGGTTGACAACGTCCCATGCATCCAAAGCATGACTGAGACCGGCAGTGTTCCCTTCTCGGTCTGACCCGCTCTATGGAGGGACCAGGAACCGCATCAGGTCAGCAATCATGGTAAGTAACAAAAAGAACACCACGAGATTCAAGTCGATTCCCGCATGTATTTCAAATGCCTTGAAGTGGTCAATGACAAGCTCAATGAATGGGTATTCCCCATACCCACAAAATGCGGCAGATCCACTTAGCTGAGTTAAGGCATACCCCTCCTACGTGCTCTGCTCGCCTTCCTAAACCTTGTGTCCTGGAAAATTATCAAGTGTGAGTCCAGGGTATTTTCGCTTTGGCAAGTCTCGCGAACCCTTTCACGCTGAGGACCTACTCACACTTCCTAGTTGCCTCCAGTGTGACGTATCTCCAGTGACGCACATAGAGAGCGCTAGCACATTAGACCACAATGCCACTATATCGATGAAGTCTCGTCACGCAACTGACAATCCACGCTCTCTATCCTAACAGTTTCTTCTTTCACTACGAACAAGGGCATTCGGCAGTAATGTAACTGTCCAGCCACAATCACATGCCGATGCAGATCCATAAAGAGTAAGCTCACCGCTTGGCTATGTTTTAGCGTCACTCTCCAGCTGTGGTGTGGCTGCTTCGTCCGGTGTCTGTGGAGAAGCAGTGAGGGGTTTGGTCCAAGAGTGGAGTTTTGCTTGCGCAGTGTGCCACAGTTCTATATGATCATCACTCCCGATCCTTCCGGTGTTGTTGCACACCGATCGATGACGGTCGAAATCTGAACATGCTTGATTCTCGAGCATACGCTGCATCGATTAAAGCGTTTGGGTACTTTACAGACCGAGCCAGACTCCGACGATCGTGCCAACCATCGATGCGAATACAGCCCTGCCACTCCTTCCAAAGGCTCTCTCGGCACTAGACTCGTCATCCTGAGAGTCTTCTCCATCCTGTGAACCGTATTTCTCGTCAAGCACTTCTTTCACACTTCTCGGGGCCCGACTTCCGTCCTGCACATTCCCAGGTTTCAAACATACGACTTTTGCAGGAGTGCTGCGAGTGCTAAAATGGTTGGTGACGGGAGTGGTGGGATAGAAGTTTAGGATGTCCACAATGGGAAAGTTCAGTGCCACGTCGTAGTCGGTGTGAAGAGCGAGCCTATTACCCCAACCGCTGCTCAGATTGCGGTCGTCGCAGGTAGGTACGGTAAACTCCTCAGTGTAGGTTTCGTTGTCATACCTAGCCCATTCCCATATGCGGACTTTATCAGAGGCGTTGAAGGGTGCAGTGTCTACAAGCGCCATTAGTTATATCTCTCACCTCTTTGTTGCCACGGATCCAAGACGTACCAACTGTCACAGCTTCGGCCAACATGCCTTCACATTCGGAAGGTATAGTGTGCTTGATAGTGGAACAGTCCTGAGAGATCCATACGCTATTTTGACCTGAGTACCAATTCTGGAGAGCTTGCACACATTCTTCTCCCAACATAGTCTTACAATCCCCATTATCATCTTGCGCCCTCTCCAAAACTTGTCTGCTCCAGGTCAGATTTGAGGTGGTGAAGTCCTGCAACGGGACAACGTTGTGGCAGAAACCCATCCGATTGCCCAAACGCTCTATATCCGATTCACCAACGTCGAGCCATAGAACGGCTTGGGTGTCGTTCTCGCTGATTCCATCCCCAGGCCAGATGTACGGCCCGATATAAGATGAGATCTGCCAATTGATCCCGTTGTCTTCGGAGAACGATGGGTCTGAATCGGATCCGAGATAGCTGAGGGTTAGAGCCGTTGTGTTGTGGGTGACAGAGGCATTGTATGCGAGGCCATCGGAGAGATCATCGCATGTCAATGTCTCGGGATCGGAGTCAGAAGATGATTGTGCGTACGCTATTGTGGCTAGCACAGAAGCCAGGACCGAGTGTCTAGTAGGACGGAGCATGTCGGATGGACGTTGTGCAGAACTTGTTGGGCTATGCGCAAACTGTACAGCCGTAGCAGTCAGGGGGGTTGCCTCGTTCTTTATACAGATCTAGCCATCATCACTTTGCTACATTCAACCAAGGCCCCCAGTATAGAGCCATGACATCACATCGGCTTTGCTATGGTGGCGGTTAGGCATCCTACGTACTAACGACAGATTCCTTGGCAAATGAAACCACGACACTAAACACACACATCGAACCACGAATTCGGCATCGCCTGTAAATTGTAGAACACGACCAAGCCATACAGAAGCCCTGGAGCGTTCGTTGCTTTCTTTCGAAGCTAATATAGGCAGGATACTGCATTAGTGTCCATACTTAAACTACACTACAAGAGAACGCCTAAGCCGAGTTCCGAAAATATGCGGCACCTGGGCGTGTGAGTGACAGCAGCGACGAAAGACGAGGAAAGACCTGGAGGCGCTATGGCGTGAAATCTCACTCAGCCGACCAAATGGAGTGTTAAGGTGCGAACTGAACAGTAGTTATATGTCTATCATACGGTATGACATCAGAGCATATACCTCAGTAAGCCTGCTTCTTCTTTAACCATGCATGCGATGCTATTAATGTACAATGAAGTAGCCGATATGTTCAGCGAATGCGATGGTGTTCGCACTCAGAATGATTTACACAAGCGGTCTCCGACCGCTTTAAAAAGATCTATTTCTTCGATGCTTTGCCCTGATATTCGATGTCGTACTGAAAAAACGAATCCCATATGCTTCCCTTCCTCGCGAGCGGCGACTTTCGAGAGTCACTAAGAGGACTTTTCAGATCGCCTTGACTTCCTAGTCTGCTTTTGACGGGAGATGTATCCGATCGTGTATTCGATGGGCCTGATATGGAGGTCTTGCGGAGGGATTGAAGCTGGGCGATGGATGACTGCGTAGTGTTAGCGATGTAAGCAAAGGTCATGGTTCGGGGAGCTTAGATTTACAGAAAGCGAAAACCTAAGGTCCCCATAGTAGGTCGCGCACATTGCCTCCATTCCCATCGTCCGCAGACTTGTCTACGCCATTCGTTGATGACTCCCTGAGATGGCTAGGACCATGTGTGCCAGCTGGACTCGCGCCCCGTGTTGCTGTCGCAGAGTTTGGATTCGAGTCAGGCCGTTCAGCTGGCGAGAGCGCTTCAGCCGAATTATGACGGCCGACTAGGGGCGCACTCTTCTTGCTTGTTCCGCTGCTGCGGCGACTGTCGAGTGACTTCCCAAGTTGAGTTGCCGGGTCCATGGAGGACTTCTTCTTCGCTTTCTGCATCTCGCCCAATCCGGTTTCTAGGCTGCTCTTCACTGTGACTGCACCTTTGATACCTGGGGTGCCCGGAGCCATCGCCTTCTCTTCAGTCGCCTCCAGTAAGTACCATCTTAGTCCATCAGATAGATCGAAAGGATTGTCGTCTTCGAATGAAATGGCATTGCTAGAGGCGACAGATCGACCATCTAATGATGCTCGAGTTGCACCATCCATCGTCTTGGAAAGGTCGACGACGCGCTCCTCTACCTTCGAAATGCGCGCCACAAGCCACTCTTTCCCACCCAATCTATGGGTGTCTTGCTCACGAAGGAAGAAATGTGGTGCACCAACGTTGAAGGCAGCCCAAGGGCGATGCGCATTGTTGCGGGTCGGCAAGAAGAGTGCAAGGTCGCCTTCCTTGAAGGAGCGATAGGCGATCTTGTCGTGCGAGTCAGCCTGGAAGCGATGCGCCTTGTCGCGATATGCTCGGGCTTCTTTCTGCCACTTTCGTGCAGTGTGCTCCATGTCACGCATCCGCTTCGCAACAGCGTCGCTAAAGGTTTCGGTGTTGAAGAGCTCGAGCTTCTGAATGAGTTCCTGATACCGCTGATCTTCTTCCTCTGGGCTTGTAGATTCGGTCCATTGAAGGAAGTGAAGATCTCCGACGTCTTCCAGGAAACGCTTGAGGGGAGTGGGCGAGGGCGTTGTTGTACTTCGACTAAGTCCTGCACTAGTGTCTGTCATGATGGTGCTATTCCCAAGTCTAGACGCTCGCTGGAGGATCATTTCACCGTTCTCATGAGTAATGACGAATCCAAGTGTCTCGACTAGACGGATCAGACGCTCATGCTGCGTGTATAGCCGTTCACTAAGGTCCTTCGCCCGATGCATACGTTGGTGGGTACGGGACGAGTCCGCTTCCTCAAGCTTGCGGAGCTTCTTCTCTACGCGCATAAGCTCGACATCGAGGCTGTTGGCGTGCGAGCTCTTTTCTGCGAGCTCGGTTTGAAGACGACCAACCTTGGCCTCTTCCTCCTCAACGCGCTTCCGGAGAGCTTCGGAGCCGGTCTCGCCTTCAGCGAACTTGGCGCGGAGGCTATGTAGATGCTCTCGTTCCTCTTCAAGTTCTGCAGTGATAGAGGTGACACGGGCCTTCTCCACGTCAAGCTCTTCGCGGACAGCTGCAACTTCCTTCTCGTGTTCGGCAAGCTTGGTGTTGAAGCCTTGTTCTTGCTCTTCGATCCTAGCATGGGCATTTTCGTTGTCTGACTTTGCCATCGCCACAGCCTGTTCTAGCTCTTTTTGGTGGTTGAGTGATCGCGCTGCAAGATCTTCAAGTTGTGCCACAAGCGTAGCGTGATCGTCCGGTACGTTGGTACCTGGCGACAGGTGGTTGAAGGTTGCTGTCAGCGAGTCAAACTCCTGGGTCTTGACTGCTGAGCGCTCACGGAGCTCCGCTTGAAGAGCTTCGATGCGCTTATCTGCTTGTTTACTCTGTTCGGCAGCATCTTTGCGGGTTGTTTCGAGTTGCGAAACCAGCTCCTGGACTCTAGCATCTACACCTGTTCGCTCGTTATCCCGACTGCCTAGGACGCGATCAAGTTCATCTTCGGCTTCTTCAATCTTGGCCTTGCATGCGCGGATCTCGTCTTCTAGTGATTTGCGTTCGTCGGCGAATTCTTTTTGTTGCGCTCGCATGTTTTCCATGATGTTGTTCTTGGTTGACATGGCCTCCTCGAACTGGCGTTGCTGATCTGCATCCTCGTCTCTCCGTGCTTGCGCATCGCTCTCAAGTTTGGCACGAGCCTCTTTCTCCGCCGCGAGCTGTTGTTCAAGGCGAAGAATACGACGTTTGTCTTCTTGTCCTGTATTTGCCGAGTAGCGCCTGGAAGAGATCGAAGAGCGACGGGATAGCTCTTCTTGGGGTCTCGGTGAAGCGACTTCTGCTGTTGGCGTCGCGGGGTCGGTTGGGTCTGGTATACCGAATGAGGGAGGCGCGCCACCTATTGAGAGTCTGTTGGCAGTACTCTGACGATGTACCAGATCCTCCAATCGTCGCACTCGGCTCCTGTAGCCTTTCAGCTCTTCTTCGAGCTTTGCATTCCCCTCTTTAAGTACACGTAGCTCATCATCGCCTCGCATCATGAGTTGAGAGCCTCTGCCGAAAGCTGGCTCATGGACACTACCCATCTTGAAGTTCTTCGCGCGTTTGATCTGCTGCTTTGTAGGTCGGTCAAGATCCTTAATAGCTTGGGCAAATAATTCGGCTTCCGATTGCTGTCCATCCAGTCTTTGCAAGTCCTGGAGGTAATCTTGAAGCTCTTCTCGAGTGACCATCGGCCAGACGGTCTTTTCAGGTTGCACATTTAGCTCGAATCCTAATGAGCCACCTTGCAAGGCTTCGAGATTTACAACATCCGATATTGGCTTCAGCCATCGCTTGCGCCGACGCTCTTCCTCTTCCTGAAACGTTGCCATTTCCTCAGCAAGCGAGGATGTATCCTTCTCCATCCTTTCTGTCCACTCACGTCTTCGGACGGCTTCGACTAGCAGTGTACCGTAAACATAAGGCAAGCGACCGACGAGGGAAATGAGCTCGAAGGCAGCAACACCATCGTCTGGGATACTGATCTGCTCAAGTTGCGCACCGACGCTCGCAATGATCGATTCGATGTTTGCGATACCCTGCATGCTCTCGACCGAGTTCCTGATGGCAGCGTTCTTCTGCTCCACCGCCCGTCGCACGAGATCGCTCATTTCCACGCTGTATTCTTGTATGGCCGGTAGAAAGTTTCGCGTATGGAGCAAGGCCATTTTGGACACCTGCGCGACCGACTTCGGGTTTGCTTCTAGCCCCATGACGTGTTCAAAGTCCGACTCGACCTTCTTAACGACGGCATCGATCTCGTTGTACAGGCGCGTGGGCTCTTCGGAATCATCAGCCATGGAACGGCTCTGGCTTTGGCCGACGGCGCTCAGGAGTTGGTTGTAATCTGTCTCGATATTCTCTAGCTGCATGCGCATCTTGTCCATGTGTTTGCCAAAAGCCTCCCGAACGCGCTTGCTTGTTGATGTAGCCTTTTTGATCGCTTCGACGTCGAGGAACTCTTGGAGGGTCTTGCGAACAAGAGTACTACTGGGAATGCTCTGGGGAGATCTCATCTCCTTGGCCAAGAAGCGCGCGAAGTTCAAGGTAGCAGGCACCGTTCCCAGTTGCTCAAAGTCGGCGTCAAGCCGCCGTATGTTGTCCCCGGCTTCCTTCTCGACCCCATCGTACCATTCCCTTGCTGCCTTGTACTTCTGGTCCAAGCCCTTGATGTGCGCATCGTGATTCCCGACGGCGACCTGGGTTGCTCTCTCGATGGTGGCTTGTTCGGCAAAGTGCTTCGAGGCGATCTGGGACATGGAGAGCGACCTTTCGAGCAGGCCAAAAGCCCAGTCGCGGCGGGCCTGGAAGAGGGCCTGCCATGCTCCGAGGTCGGTGTTCTTCGCAAGGTGATTCGGCGCATCGTCGGGTTGGAAGGCATCGGGCAGTGGTGTGGAGGATATGGCAGCCTGCGGGTTGTTGGAGAGTTCGCGACTGAAGACGAATATCTCTTTCTGTGGCACAAGTATTAGCGTGTGTCCTACAAATCCCACAGTAGACGCGTACCTCAGTTAAGAGCGCTTGGAGCTTGACGTGTTTGCCCTGTGTTGTGAGTAAGACCTGTTGCTCGGGC